ATATACATATATATATATATATATATGTATATATATATATATATATATATATATATATATAATATATATATATATATATATATATATATATATATATATATATATATATATATATATATATATATATATATATATATATATATATATATATATATATATATATATATATATATATATATATCGATTTATATCTCTCTGTATACATATATATATATATATATATATATATATATATATATATATATATATATATATATATATATATATATATATATATATATATATATATATATATATATATATATATATATATATATATATGTATATATATATATATAGACATCTTTTGAGTATTGTATTTATAGTACATAAACATATTGATTATAACCTACGGAAGATAATTATATATGTATTGTGATGTATATGCGTATACACATAGTAGTAATTACAACAATTATGTATGCATTCTCACATAATAATCATATACCTGTTTATACACATGCATGTATACAAATTCTGGACAGTATATTTTTTGGAAGTTTGAGTGATTATATGTGGTTCAATGATAGGAAGGTATCACATACTTGTATATTGAAAGGTACAGCATAGAGATCTCCAATTTTTAGATATGTTTTCTGTTGTTTTTAAGAACAAAGCATTCAATTAGTATATGCCTATACGGATAGCGATTGTTTTTGATTGGTCGTTTATTCCTATTTGATCTCGTTAGGGTTATTCTACGTACACACAGTCACATGGCAAATTCCCTGTATTCGTCAGTATCAGATCACTAATTTCTTTAGTATAGTGCATTTTATTGAATCAGAATACTTATCGAATGCATCACGTCTTGGCTGTGTATAATTTGCACCACAAAGCAGTCTTCCTCTGGTCTCACGAAGGAATGATATCTGGTTGCACCTGATTCACATAATGTCATTTCTTCCTCTCTTTTTTTGTCACCCGTATCAACGCTTCGACGAACAGGATGGGTGGAAAACTTCCTGGTAAGTAGTTGTTTGCTTCTTGAGATGTATAGTTTGAGTGTGTGACCGTTTTCCGATTTGTTCAAGACTGAACGGCGATTGCCGTTGTTTTTATATTTTTGTAATTGTCTTCGTGATATTTTTGGACTCTTCTGACGATGTTTTTATCCGATTGTATATTAAGAAAGCTTATTGAATTTCCGCTCTTCTGCCTCATATTGGAGCAGTCGAGATGATGTTACACAGGGTCATTACCATTCGTTAATCGGTATGCTGATAAATCAAACTGCCTTCATTCTCACGAATTTTAAATTTCTTTAATTTTCAGGCATGCACGGCGGACCAGAGCTCGAGTGCAGTGGAGGCACGAACGCAGACGGCTCAAATTGTTTCTCCACGCGTCTGATGTGGCGAGAGGATGGAGAAGGAGAAGCATACCTCTACATACCTATGGACTATCAGACGGAAGAATTGTGTGCGCAATGCGCATATCCCGAGATGGTTAGTGGCTGTAAAGATGTCGCACACTGTTCGCTGGACAGAGGAGCGTTCACTTTTTCAAAGGGAAAGTGGAATACTGTCAAGCAATATATTCGTTTGAATACAGTAGGGTCGAATGATGGCTTTTTCAAACTGTACCACAATAATAATCTGGTGATGAATCAGGAGCTGGTGTATCGCACGTCGGACAAAGTTGGCATCAATGGGTTTTTTTTCTCCACATTCTTCGGTGGAAGCTCCCAGGAATATGCACCTAAGGATGACCAGGTATCGATGTTCAAAAATATCAGACTATACGCAGGTGAGGCGTAAAATACTATGGGCCTAAATTTTTAGACGGACGGATTCGATTACGTTGTAAATCTTTGAAGGAGGTGACATAAGTACGTTTCCGCACATATTTGCCTGGCTAGATCACGACAGAATTGTGACATCACTCAAATGCTTCACTTCAGGTTGTGCAAGCTATTGTGTTTGTGACTACAGGTATAGCGGTTGCAACTGTGTGCACGCAGATCTGGAGGCTTTCCCATCTATGGCCTGCTTGCTGCTACAATCAAGCATATATACCAGCAAGCCGGACCAAGGTATTCGATTGGATCACGAATCTGATTTCGTCTGTTCTCGGCGTTCTAGGGCGTGTTTAGATTAATAGAACTTCTAGGCTGCGGGCATATTTGGGCAGGACTGTACTCTGCCATGTAGACCACCTCAACAGCATAACACTAGGTATGCAGAGTTACTCTGCGTTTTATATCATATTATATTCAGATGCGTGCACGAATAACCAAATCGCACATGAAGCGGCAGCACTGTTTGGCATCAGTAGACATCAAATGATTAAATTTTCGAGCTTTTACATTACTCAATGTTTACAATTACATGGCAGTCTAGTTTCTCTCGATCAAGTACTAACTGCCAAGCCCAATTCACGATATAACGGGCAAACTACAAGAAGCATTGGCGAACAGATTTACGAACCCTTGTGCCAAACAAAAATATGTTCAAGATATTAATCAGAAGCATAAAAGTGTGTTTCATATCGGTAAGGAATCAGTTCACAATGCGAATCTGCGAACCATGTGATTACTAGCTAGGAGTTGTAATGCGCACTACAGGGCGCAGTTATATTCAAGCATGTCTGGGTGTAATTGCGGCCAGGGAGTTACAAGAACATACATTAAAGTGAATTGTAATATGGCTACGAGAAGCCACTCGGTTTTTTATTCGACGTCGGCCTTTGCAGCATTCTTTGCATTAACGTGAGCTTCAGTGGTTCTGCCGGTGCGTTATGCGCCCGTGAGGTAACAGTTTTGGAGTAAGCTTCCAGCTTTGGACCCGAGTCTGTACTTAATTTTACACGAGTATTGCTACTAGCTCCCCTTCCAGCTAAATCTGAAGTCGCACTCCGCATGGATATGTGCGCGTGTGCGTGCGCTTGTATGTGGTGGTTGTCGATAGCAGCATGTGTTTTGCTGGGCGCGTTAGATGCTCTACTCCTCCTCTTGCGCGGGGGCGCGCTGGCTGTGGGAGGAAGAAACAGTTTTACGAATTAGGAAATTGGTTAGACCACGACTGGCATACCAGTGGCGGCAAGATAAGTAGATCCAGGGTTCGTGAGGCGTATACTTGCCTGCCCTTTTTTTGCTGGACATTCACTCTGCTGAAAATTTGGAGTCAAACGCAGGTATATGCAAAGGTGTGTAAGGCTTACACTTCAATATAACACAAGCGATGCCTATTCTGTACATACAGCTACGACCGAATGACACAACCAATCACTCGTCTATATTTTTTCCGTGAATTAACGAGCAAGCTAGGTCCATGACAAATCTTTTTGAGAGGATCATCTTGTCTAGGCAACAACAATGCACACAATAGAATCACTTGAGCGAAGCTGGTATCATAGAAAACAAAACCTTACCCGACACAACGCCCGTTGATGTATCCTTATTTGCTTTTCTCTCGCTTCGCACTTCATCCAAATAATCGGGATTGTACTGCTTCAATTTTTCCGCATTTGGTAGGAGAAGGAAAGCTTTCATCACGTACGGCTGCGATAACCCAAAAAAGGCAGGGCCCGAGGCCGCAATCTTGACATTTGCGTTGCCTGTCCGAGCCTACGGCAGAATAAGAAAATTGGCTTTGGTCATAAATAAAGGATGGCGAGGCTTGCACACAGTTCATGTGCCAGAGAGGAGGTGGAGTGTCACGCGAGTTACCTCAATCGCCATTGACATTATGCAGAACACTCTTTAGCAATGTACAAAAAATATCGCTGGGCTATTGGAGTCACTTACTGCAGATAATTGCATCGATCACTGTGCCGTGGAGATGACGCATATATCCCTGAGGGTTTGCTGGCTGTTATTAAGTTGCGATTGCAACAACTTGATTTGCACACCAGCGCACGCAAATACAGTGTGCGATTGTATTTGTATTGCAAGGGTTCTACTATCGCCGCGCAAAGTATTTCTAGAAAATAGAACATTGTGGACACACATGAGGTACAGATCTATTCACAATACCATAAGCGAACACATGCAAATAACACACAAAAACTATATGATCGTTCAATTAAACACTACTCGTAAAAGGTTACAGTGTGCAAGCATACCGTTTTAATTTTAATCAGCAGCGTAACAATCGACGACGTCGGAGACGTGGCGACAATAGGACTTTCGGGATCGTCTGCTGCCCGGATTTCGAACTGAAATAATGAAGGAATAGACTGAGTAGTCGGGCGATTTTATTTTAATTGAAACAAGCATTGTTTGCATGCAGACTCGTGCTTAATAACAACTAACGAAACATACGGCACGCTAGCAATCAGTGGATACCTCAGTTTTAACACACTTGCAGATGAGAAGTCTGTGCCTGAAAGGAGTCAGTTCGATCTCATAAAACCTCGACAATTTAACAGGGAAATGTATTTAAACCATACGAACACATTTCTTTTTGGAATAAGAACACAAATTGATCAATCAGTGTGGCTAAAACACCATATTCCAAGTACAATTGTCACGGAGCATTCAAATCATACGAACGACACCTCGACATCAGAAACTCACTAATGGTCCTTCGCCGCCATCTAGTATTTTGCATGTGTACAGTACGCGCTCCTCGGTCAGGTAGCTGTTACCCATTCGTTCGGAGGTGAATCCAATCGGCCAAATGTATCTGTGAAGGCGGTTGACAGAGTCCGGTAGGCTATCAAATGAGTTCACAATGCAATACATACAGAAAATGTAAACGATCTTTATGTGAGCAAGAATTACAATTTTTCCATGTAGCCATATTGACAAATCGACGACTCGTCATCGCTCAGCATACACAGGAGTTATGTATTCCAGCTCAGAAATACGTGGGATCAAGACAGTAAACTGGTTTCAAACACTGCCCCATATGTGTAGCGATCAGTGCTAACCCCAGATGAATATTTTATATATTACTCATCGCTATGCGTAATTTGATTGACACCACTTTGACGTACCTTTCAGAATGAAAGCCTTCTCGTTCCCACTCTACGGTACCAAAATTGATCACCGTCACAGGGCCTGCTTTGACAGGGACTGTTGGCTGTGGACGATAAATACAAGAAGTTGAATTAGATTTCACGTCAATAAAAACCCGCCGCATAATCTAATCCATTTTACGGGGCGAGTTCAGTAACTATCAACATTAAATAATTCAAAAGATATTTGTACAAGAGATCCAGTCACTGCATTTTCTGTGCGTATCCTAGCGTCCCTGTAGCTGGCCAGCGCCTAAGGCGGCTATAACATGAACAATAACGCTTAAGAGTTTTTCATCATAGGCGCCTACTAATGGCCAATCGAATCGTAGGCAATAAAACAGATACAAATGACGGCACTTTTAACACAGGGTCTGTTTCGCATCGACACATGATTAATATCCCATCACTAGGATGCGAGGGCCCCCATACCAGTCCCTGCGTATCCACCAACACTTCGGCATACTTCGTCGAAGTTTCTGGGGATCGTCTCTTTCTCATGGCTGGCTGTGGGACTGAGTGATGTCTCGGTGCCATGAACGCGTGTGGTACCAAAAAACTGGCCGGTGCTTGTTGATTTTCATTCTGCGGTCGTGAACTCACGTGCAATAAATCTCCCTTTTCTATGTCCTGAACGGGACAGGGAACGAAATGGGAAAAATATCAGTGATACACTACGAGAACATATTGATTTTAGTATTAACAAGTCACGTTGAAGGGCTTCGGCATGCGGCGTACCTAATGGTTTATATTGGTGATGTTAGCGAGTTGCTTTAAGGATGCCGTACACAAACAAGGCAACAGCGGCACCATTATTTTGTAAAAATATAAGGCGGTACTCTCAATATACACACCTCCGATGAAGAGCTCTCGTGGATGAAACTAGGGATGGGCTCTCCTTTTTGCTTGAGCTTGTGCACCAACTGTCGCTTATTTCGGGATAAGGCCTGTAAAATTGCAATCATTTTAAAATATCGTTTTGAGCAATCTCAAATTTAATCCATAAACTTTCAGAGACGTACTTGAACAAACAAAAATGATGAAAAGAAAGAATTTGCATACATACTTTTATACTTGATAACAATATTTCCCTTTCTTCGTGCATGGCCGTGTTTGTGAATAGCATCATACGCACAGTTTTCTTCATATATCTGTATTGTGAGAAATTTGAGAAGATAGTGCCTTACGTTAAAACATTGGACTCTTGCTTCTCCGATAGAACTCTTCCTAGGACAGTGAACTCTTTGGGAGCGCTCCATACCAAACTGTCCCGAACTACACCATAAACCCTACCTTAACTTGCGCTCGCTTGATGCCTTTTTTCTGTGTCGTTCCAATCGCACCTTGTCTGCCCGGGCTGCCTTTCGTTTGAGCATTTCGATCTGTGTTGGGAACATAAAATCACAAGTTCGGGTGAGTATCAATCTTCTAAAATTAGTATGAAATAGTTCACAAGATAGCGCAGAGACATATGAGCCTTAACAAGCATGGCAGTCACAGTGTACGATGCTAACCACGATCACATTAGCGCGAGTAAAAAACCTTGTCTTCATCCTTAGCAAGGGCAAACCACCCAGGTTGGCCATCAATCTTCGTGAACCGCTGACTGCCTCGTTGTGTTTCTCTGTATATCAATGCATCCAGACTCTTCTTTTTGGATGCGTCGATCAAACCTCGTTTAGCACACCTCGATTGTATGTCCTTGAGGTGCAAGCCCTCGGAGCCCTGTTTCGAGATAGAAGATGGTCAGCACAAGACTTGTGCACGCAAGGCGTGATATGTTTGCGATACGTCTCTTTTATTCGTGCAATTCCACCTGATGAAAGATGGAAGCCTGAAGCTTGGTGGTGCGTAGAAGTTATAGTATTCAATACGTAATGTCTTGAGAACTTTAAATCGAAGAAAAACCCCAGATATAATCGTCTGCAACATATGGTAGACGCTTAAGTGGGATGTGCTCCTCATAAATCTACACAGCAAATTTACTGTGAATTAAAATAGGCCATGACTGATGTGGGATATGTAATAATCTGTCCACTACAGAGTACATCGACAGTTTAAGGAAGAAAACCGAAATACATACATGTTTGCCAAAAGTGGCGGAAATACGATGTATTCTCTCATATTCTGCAGAGGGAGAGATGCGTATAAACCATATATAAATACCAAAAAGATACACCTACCGCCTCTCGCAACACCATTTCAGCCGCATCCAGCAGTGTAATAGTCTTCCGCCTCTCCGCCGGAAACCTAGTGGGTGCGAGGTACACATTAGAACCTTTTGCAGCGGGTAAGTTATAGCAATTCCATTCTGATTCGCTGAAGTGTAGACCCTACACGCACACGTGGTAGGATATGGGCTGATAACTGTACAGGGTATGGGCTAGCAACCGATTTACTTGTAAAATACTTTTTTTAAAAGGTATAGCTTCGAAAAGGTGCATCCGCTGTATACCCAATCGCCCCTATTAGAAATCGCTTTCAAATACGTTGGTAAAAGCAACTTACAAACTACACACTTTGTAATCGAAATGCACAGGGTGCTAAGTCCCGAGTGATCTAATGTTTATCAGTTGAACGTCCTCAGTTATAACCGCAGACATCAAAACATATAAATTTAAATCATGTAGAATACAAGTCACTTGACAAATCATAAACGACATACTTCGACGTTGTAAGAATTCCCAGTACAAATCTCACCAGTTGAAGGGTCTATCTTTACTGCGTTCATCACTCATTGTGTTCAAAAGAAGGAGCTTTTCAAAAGTAATATATCCACTACCGAATCATAGCAAGATGTTACACGCACACGAATGGTATACATATGTACAACTAGAAAACCACATTGGTACGCGCGAAGTGGCGGGAGTTGCAGCTGGAAAATACAACATGGGTACAATTAGAACAACCCAAATAGTTTGCGACGCACACACGCAGACCATCCCACTAGCCTATACTGAATAATGAGATGTATAATGTTTACACTGAACACACTCAAAGCATTCTGCGCTGCTCGGATTGTGATACAATAGCCAATTCCTTGAAAACATTGGCTGGTGCGTGAACAATGGCGGTTGAACTGCCGTGTATCGTTGAATACTCTACTACAGCAAAGATTTGTGTCCATTGCTGAAGATCTCAATTTTCTAATGTAGCGACAAGCACATAGCGAACGCGACTGTCACAAAATCTGCAAACTTGGATTGAGATCGCCACCCGATAATCTTTTCATTGTTTTGCGTAGGGCTTTATAGCAGCTGCCGAGGGCACATAGAGATACCATCCATACCTGCGTTCCTGTACCTCCTCTCCGTCGCTCTCGTAGTCTGCATTTCCGCCATCATCCTTGACCCTGTGCTCATAAGTATTCTCGGTTGAGGGGTTATCTCGTATGTGTTTTTCGTAGTTATTCGTGCTTGAGGCTACACGATCACCATCACCCCTCATTGCTTTTTCCCTGACCTTATTCTTGGTGATTCCGCGAGAATACTCAGACATATTAACCTGTAACTCAGACCCACCTACAGGATCCCCACGACGTTTTGAATGTTTCTTAGAATTGCCATCGCGTGGTAGTATAGGGGCATCTTCGTCGCTGGAATCATCTCCACTGATGTATGATGCTTGTCCTTGTGTACTACTAACTTCAATCTTATCGACCTTATATATGCCGTTTTTGACCTCATGGTTAGCTACATCAAATACTTTAACTTGATCAGCTTTGCCTACGCTGCTCCCCTTGCTCGCATGAACAGTATGGACACGCCTATAACTCCCATCACGTGCATACAGCGCACTTTTATCATCACCCTCGTATGGCTCGACAAAATTCGTGTGACGTACATCGGTCGAGTGATCCGAATGCGACCCATCTGACGGATCTGACTCGATGCTATCACCACTGCTTGAGTCGTCACTGAGTTCACTACCACTGCCACCAAGTGCTTCAACTTCGTCATCGGTTATCTCATCTACTTTCTCCAGCCCGTCCATTGTGTACTATGCGAGGTGTGTGTGCAATATAAATAGGGACAGAGGTACATCTCAGCTACGGAACCAACTAATAAACCTGTTTAGATAGGTGGTAGGACATAAAAAACACTCAGCAATGCCCTAGTAGCAAATAAAAGCCATCATCCTACTAATACTAGAGAGAGAGGACGATGCCAATTGCCACGAGAATCGTCCATACTGTCAAGTCTCAGAAACGTACAATTCTCAAAAAAAAAGTCAGATGTAAAACGGAGTCGATTTTTGACACAAGAAGAGTAATACACACTACATAATCGTGTCTCATCGTGTTGCTTTCCTATATATCTGTGAAAAAGTTGGAACGAGTCGAACATAAAGATAATGTGTGTATCTGTATATCTTCGCGAAAATGCACATGCCCTCACGATTTATAGAACTATGTACGTGTACATGAACGTGCACTTAATAAAATGTGTATGTGTTCACAAACGTGCATGCATACGTCAGAAAATATAATAAAATACAGCTTCGCCCATGTCTGCTTGTAATAATAATATATATATATATATATATATATATATGTGTGTGTATATGAATATATATATATGAATATATACATATATATATATATATATGTATATATATACATATATACATACATATATATATAAATATATATATATATATATATATGTATATATATATATGTATATATGTATATATGTGTGTATGTATGTATGTATGTATGTATGGATGCATGTGTTTATGTATGATATATATATGTATATATATATAGATAAATATATATATATGTATATATGTATATATGTGTGTATGTATGTATGTATGTATGTATGTATGTATGTGTTTATGTATGAATGGTATGTATGTATGTATGTATGTAGGTGTGTATGTATGTATTTATGCACCAATATATATATATACCCATGTATATATATATATATATATTATATATATATAGATATATAGATATATATACATGTATATTATATATATATATATATATATATGTGTGTGTGTAGTTTTTTTGTATGTATGTATGTATGTATGTATTTGACTATTCTATCTATCTATCCATCTATCAATCGACCTAACCTGTCGTTGAGTTCTGCATGCACTGATTTTATTCATCGTTCAGTATGCATGCACGGTATTCATCGTTATCGACGTCCAGATTTGTACATCTTTTAGGGCTGTGTTGTGTAGTCCTGACAACCGATAGTGTTCATTATTTTCCGATCTGAGATTGCAAACCTTGTTTAAGGATATTTAGGTCACCAACCGATACATAGTATTCTCAATGGCGTCTACAAAGCGCGCCTCGTTCCATGAAGTACATATCTAGAACGAACTACGACTCGAGATTTGATAAAGTTTGCTACCACAATCATGAAACCCAAGTGCACTTCGTTGTGTTCAATTAGAAAGGACCACGTCTCGAGAGTTAATATATTGTTTGCTACCACAATCTTGAAACCCTGCGTGTCTCTACAAAGTACACGTCGATGCATCAAGAACTAGGTCTCGAGAGTTGATACGTTATTTGCCACCACAGAGTGTACGTTGTTACATCGACAACGCAATTAGAAAGACCTACGCCTGAAGAGTTGATATATAGTTTGCTATTAATCTTAACTTTTGAGTGTCTTTAGAAGTGTACCAAGTTGCATGGACAACGTTATTGGGAACAACTACACCTCAAGAATTGATAAAACTCACTATCGGTATTGAAACCCCAACTTTCTCTACAAAATGAACCAAGAATATAGTCTTCGAAGCCCTAATTGTCTCTACAAATCACCCTTTTGCATTGAGAAGAGCTAGGAAGAAATACGACTTGACAAGTCGATTAAAGTTTGAACCACGATCTTGGTTGATTTATTTTTATTCTCCATCGGTAGAAGATACTATAAAAATTAGCCTCGGCACAAAACGAATCGGTAACACCGACCAGGAGTAACACAGTAACCAAAAACATGACATAATCGATAGACATTAACGTAGAGATTCTCAGCCCCGAAAGATGGTTCAAGTACCGTCAGCCAATAATGTCTGGACTTGGTTGAGTTATGCATCAGTGAATCTACACAACAGAACATAAACATACGAACAAAAGATAAAAAAGAACATAAGGCCACTGGGTGACTTGGTTGAACAAAGTCAACGATAATTTCTCATAACGATGTATGGGTTCGTACGATAAAGAAGAGTACAGAGCGAGTGAGCCCCGTTAAGATATTGCAAAATTGAAACTGAAAACAGTTACATTGGCAACGGCCGCATAACTTTGCTTCGACGAAGACACCACAAACAACCGACGTGCCCTGTAAGGGTACCTAGCCCGTAGTATGAGCATCACTGGCAGGCATAAGCACACACGTGGCGGTGATGAAAGGACCATCAAGGCCCGCTACTCTCTAGCTATCGTCCGGGGACTTTTCCCCGAGCATGGATTCAATTTATTCGCTCGGACAGCGGCCCTGCTCGTACTCCACTCCTCGCACAGGACAGATCGGAATCCGCCCCTTACTGAACTGAACCGACAGTGCGAGGCATTATATACTTCCCAATATCATTTGTTTCTATGACAATATTCGTATACACACGAGGCCGCAGAAGTTCAGAACTTCCTGAAGTTATCCACATTCCCCAAAATATAAATAGGGCACATGAATAAAAGGTCAACTAAAAGGCCCGTTTGCGCAAGTACCGGACAATTATGCAATAATGTAAATTTTACGGCCACGAGAGTGAGTCGTAGACTAGCAAGCCCTAAATTGCTGTTGACGGCGATTTTGGAGGAAAATCCACATTGTTGTTTTAGGCCGACCGCACCGGTGGTAAAAATCCGGATTTAAAAATCCGGTGGGGAAAAATGAATTCTGTGTGTCTATTGGTCAACTAGATTTTGAATTTATAACGGGTGCGGTACTTTTCAAAAATCGGTTCCGGCGCCCAATTGCTCCAGTTACTCCAACTTTCGACATATATTTGACATCAATATTCAACAATCGGTGGCGTTACGTACAAACTTCTTAATTTTTTTTAAATATGCAGGTGTCAAAAATACATGGACAAAATTTTGAAATTTAAGCCACTCAGAGAAGAGTATATTTATAGTTTCGGATTTTGTTAAACGGATTTTGTTGATCTAAAACAGAGTTAAAAATCCACTTTTCAAAAGTCGAGACCGGATTTTGTTGCCGGTGCGGACGTATTTTCAAAAATTCATTAAAAAATTCGATTTTGTTGGACGGATTTTGTCACCGGTGCGAAAAAAAATGTAATTTACGATATTATGTGTTTGTCCACCGGTCCTATGACCTGTAGGCTATGCCCAAAGAATTGTGAGTGGACTTTAAAAAAAGGGACAAATGATACCTTGTGGTGGTGGTGAGAAACTGAACACTCTAGATTATTAGATCTCGAGGAGAAAATCAAGTTCCTATACATAAATACGTGATACGACTCGTAAATTTAGCGCGAGAGACCCTGATCCAGGACCAGAGCCTCCAGAGGGCAGAGGGAATTTGAACCTATTTTTCATAAAAAAAGTTCGCTGAAACCGTTTCAGGGTAAACGAAATTGCGGGACATACATAAATAGGCATTAAATAGGCGGCAGCCGGCGTCCGACATAAGATATGAAATTTAAAGACACTTTTGTGTGTACTGTGTAGCTGACTTAGACTAGCTGAGGCCTGAGGCCTGAGACTTGAGAGTGATGAGACTGGTCTCTCCTCTCTCTCTCTATTAAGCCGCGTTTAATTTATGTATCGCATAAATGCTTGTGCATAATCTTCAGGACTGAATTGTTTTAAAGGCTTCTTAAAATTTTGGGATCAGTGGCTGTTGCGGCTTCCGTTAGTAACTTCCAAGTTTCAAGTCGGAAACAATAGCAGGACCGTTTAGACACAAAACTGACATGGTATCTGTAGCCATGTATACCTATAAATCGAGATATGTTTCTGTGTATATGTTATACTTATTTATATATATATATATATATATATATATATGTATATATATATATATATATATATCTGACAT